CGACATTACGTGTTGCTGGGCTTCGAAAAGTCAGAAATGAGAAAAGACTGCTGATAAAACCACAACCAAACATTATTGTAGTAACTGCAATTGAAATTTTCACGATGATAGGTTGTCGACTTATTTGAATATGAGGATGAATTTGATAGCTTAAGATAGTATCCAATGAGAGTGTCCAACTTTTTGTAGAAAATTGGCATCTTGATCCATAGTAACAGTCACGACAGACACACACTGCCGATGTTGGACATTTTGGATCATCTTGAAAGCATTGCCCTCCATTTTCACAGAAGTTCTGCCCATAACAATCATAGGTCATGTTATGATTGAATTCAAAACAATTGGCTTGTCGAGCAAGATCACACAAACAGAAATGAACATCATCATAGAAACAAACTAATTCCAATCGTTCTTTACATGGAATATGATAAGATTTGACGCGTTTCAATAGATGTTGATTAGCAAGAGTCTTGTTGAACAGTTCATCAATGAGCGCACATCGATGAGAAGGAATAATTTGTGTTGAAATAGTTGCCGAAACAATTGCTTGTTTCCGAAGGATAATTAAATAGTAGTTTCTGGACATTTCTGCAAAGGCAATATTAAACGTAATTGAAGTGTAGAGTGAGAGTGAATCTTGATCAAGTGGTATCTTTTTTATTGTGCTACTACGAATGGGTGCTGCTTTCTCTTTAACTGTAATGAAATGAATAAGTAACGATTGTGGAATAATTAATTCGTCGTGAAAAGATACATCAATTCTGCTCTGTGGATATTCACAACGATCTCCATAGTATTCTTGAGGACAGACACAAGTTCGCTTTGGTAGATATTCAATATAACGCTCATCCCGAGGCACACATTGACCACCATTAGTACATGATTGTGGATTACATGAAGATTGAACAAGATAACATCGTGGGCCGAATCGATTGAGTGGACACAGGCAGATCGATTCATCAATACACAGTGAATTCGGTGCACAGTCACATTTATACTTGATAGAACACTGAATACCTGACCAGTTAGGTTCACATCGACAGAATGTTGAACTTCGATCATTGATATAATTGAAGCATTGACCATGAATGCATGGTGGTGTGCATTTTTGAAAAGGCTGAACAGGCGAAATAGGGACTTTGAGTAAAACGGATAGACGATGTACGGGCAAAAATGGAAATGGAAGTGGAAAAATCCAGCTGGCTCGATAAGTCAATGTCAATTTGCTAAATGCATCGATTCGTACTGAATAGTTTTTCGATACATTTTTTGGTCGAGTTGAATAGAGTAAGTAAATATTGAATTTAACATTACAATCACGAGAGGCTAAATATTCAATGTGATCATGTGATTCTATATTTCCCTTGTCATCGATAAGAATGATAATAAATGTGAAGAGAGTCCGCCAGTCTAACGTTATTCGTATTTGAAGTGAAAGACTGACACGTTGGTTTTGATATTGACATCGATCTCCGTAGTAACTGGGTGGACATAGACAGTAAAACTCATACATATCATTATTCATCTCCTGATAAATGACAAGTCCGCGATTACATCGCCATTTATCGACATTTCTGATATTAACTATTGGATTGCTTTGAGTCGGTGGAGTTTCTGTCTTAGTTTGCGCTATTGTGATGTTGTTCATGGTTAACTGCAGCAAGTACGTTGGCATATTATATATGGTGAAATGGGTCTCTCGTTGTAGCGAAGTATGACTGGCAAGACCGCAAAGGAATTTTTCGACTTCAGTTTCATAGAAAAACGACAATAAGCCACATTTTCCACCGCCAATATCGTCAAAACTCTGACAGAATATTTCGTCGTCACCAAACGGGCAGTCTTTGTTCTTGTCACAAATGGCTTCAGATTGAATACATTTTGTGTCGTTCCAACAGTGAAAATTGTTCCAGATTGTATCGGAATCAATTTTTCGACAATAATTTCGTTCATCCGACCCACCAAGGCAGTCGATAATACCATTACCGACTCGTGCAATCGGTAGACATGACACTTTAGATCTGTCATTCGGAAAGACACATTCGTGCTCAAATTCAGGACAAGTCGAAGGTGGACAATTAATTTCATCAGCTCCATCTTTACACAACCAAAATCCATCACATCTACTGTATGTATTATTGCATGGCCAGTGTTCACATTCTATTTCATCTGTTTCATTTTGTTCATCAATTAGAACAGGTAACCCATGTAATCACGAAACGCAAGATCGATGCGTTGAAACGCGGTTTCACAACAAAATGCGTCTAGACGCAGTTAAAAACGGTTTCACAACGCATTCAAATGCATTTTTAATATGAAACGCGTTGAGACGCAGTTAGAAAACTTTTGAAACGCGTCTGAACGCAGTTTTTGTATGCAACGTGTTGAAACGCAATTGTAAAAAAACTATGAACCGCGTCTCAACGCGTTTCATATTGAAATTGCGTTTGTACGTGTTTAATAAGAGTTTGAATGAACGCGTTCAAACGTGATGTAATATGAGAAGCGTTGAGACGTAGTTAGAAAAAATTTTGAAACGCGTCTGGACGCAGGTTTTCTATACAAGGCGTTTAAACGCAATCAGAAAAAAATGAACCATGTTTCGACACGTTTCTGAAAAAAATTTAATGCGTTTAATAAAATTTTGTTTACGAACTGCGTTCAAACGTGTCTTAAATATGTTTTTCGCTCGCGTTAGGACGCAATCATATTTTCGAGTGCCTTTGAAAGTGTTTATTTTTTGTGTATCGGACGCGATTTTACTCAAAAATTGCTGCTCTAGAAGAGTTAACTGCATAATCAAAATCATCAGCTTACATATATTTTATTCATCTAAACTTCATTAGACTTCTAATAAAGAATGTCGAGATGACGTTAAAATAGACAAAATTCAATTAAACATACGGTGAACAGTCCATATTTCTCTTAAGTTTGTAAGAATAATAGCTGGATAATATTGTAATAGTTTCCAGCTATGCAATGCCCTTTCAGAATATTGTTAAATACTACTATTTAAATAATATTATTAGTAACTTTTCATCATATATTTCTACTAAATTGGTTGTCAATAATTATCTATTCATTAAATTTTTCGATAAAATTATTTATCATATTACCAGTGCAATAAAAAAGATCGTAATATTTTTTATGTGTAGTAGATGATAAAAAAAAGATGTTATTTTATTAAAAAAATAAAAAACTTATTTAAAAAAATAACTGAAAAGTCATCTTACGTGTTAAGACTCTTGAATTCGAAAAAAAATACATCTTGTTAAAATAAATTATTTAACCGATGAGATTCGTCTTCAAATATATTTTATTTTGAATAAGACAAGATTTCGAGTTAGTATAACTCAGCGGTATGTATGAACGACTTCTAATCACTGGTTCATCTGTTCAAATCTGATCGTCGTCGCTTAAGGTAAAATCTAATCAATTTGCCAGGGAAGGCTAAGACCATCAAAAAATATTGATGGTGGCGACTCAGTTCGAATCTGAAATGGATTATCATATTTTTTTTCAAAATTTTTAGTTTTTTTATGAAACGCGTCCAGACGCATTAAATGTTTCATCTGGGACGCGTTTTCGCTAAAAATGCGTTTGGACGCAAGTCAAGCTAGAAGCGCATTCACACGCGTTTCTAAAATAAATCGCGTTTAAACGCTCCGTTTGTTTCACTGGGGACGCGTTCAAACGCGTTCACTCTTAGCGTTTCGCACGCAAATGAAACGCGTTTCAGACGCGTTTTGAGGTAAAAAATATTTACATGGGAACAGTTCTGTTGGTCGTCCATCACATATCATTTGAAAAGTGTTACCGTTGTGTATCCATCCTTTGCTGATAATTTCGTCTTCTCCTTTTTCACAATTATTCTTTTCGTCTTCAATAGTTATTGGTGAAAAACATTTTTTATCTCCAGCTATTGAACATGTAAAACGATGATGAACATCGCTGAGTGAACAACTATGACTAAATGTTTCGTCATCATCGAATGGACAATCTCGAATACCATCAACAAGACGATGTTTTGAGATACATTTAGTTGAATGCTCACATCGATACATCGATGAATGATTGCAATAGTGCTCTTCGTTTGATATCAATAAACATGTACGAAATCGATTTGTAATGTTTACTACGAGAATGAACCAATCATTTTTTGAATTTATTTCATCCGATCCATGCAAATGACGACAGGACAAATTGTTCAGATATATCGTTGATGGAAGAAAGTCCGTGCAAAGTTTTTCATCGTAACACAAAGAATCTGGTAGAAGGATCTTACCAGAATCCATATTCAGTTCTTCGTTCATGAACATAAAACGTTGGCGTCCGAATAAGATTGCACTAGATAAAAACTCGTTTAACGATGGGCACTTGTCTCTTATCCAATTGGTCTCCGCAAAAAACTCCTTACACCATTCATTACTCTCTACAAGACAGATCATTGCATTGGAACAAGAATCGCTGAGTAAAAGATTGTGACGACCGTTTGCACAGTGACTCCGTTTTGACTCCATGAAAATCGCACATTCCCCATCACCGCATGGAAATACTTCGCCTGGTCCTTTTGGCTAACATGTACGTTCCTCGCATCGAAATTCAGGATGCATAGCACAATACTTGTAGGAAGGAAGATATGCAGGTTCATCTGTTCCATCTAAACAATCCGGCTCTGTTCTAACATCATGATAAAATTCTATTGGAATACATTGACCATTGTGACAACGATATTCGTTCTCAGCACATTCATTCATTTCAAGTTCCCAACAATTGAACTCATCCGATCCATCGAAACAGTCGATTTTTCTATCACAAATTTCGCGCCAATCCAAACATAATGACGATGTCTTACAATTTAGATGTTCGTAACATGTTACTTTGAAACCTTTCCCCGCTATTGATGGTTTCATTTGGAAGTGAAAAGCAACGATTCTGCCGAATGAATAGTTCATATCAAATTTGAAACGACAGCGTGGTCCAAATCGTGATGATGTACAATTGTAAAAGAATGTTTCTTGATCGAACGAAAACGACAAATGTGAATTATTGTTCAAAAAGATTTGATAGTTTTCTGCCAGTTCGATAGAAGCTGACCAAGAAAGTAATAGTTGACTACTGATATTTTTCTCTTTTAATTGAGGAAAAGTAAAAGGACGATCAACGGTACTATTGGAGTTGAAGTCTTCGATTGAAGTATTTCCTTGTGATGATCGAAAACAATACGGAATTATCTGATGTGATAATATGTTTTGATCTTTACTAGGGATAAGTCTATCGCGTACGTAATATAAAAGACATAATCCATCTTGACCATAAACAGAATTGTACATATTCAATTGATAACATGAAAATGTTTGTACTTGCAACATAATCAATATGGATAACAGAAACATATTACCGATACTAATAAAATACGGTCTCTCTGACTGAAGAATGATTCTTGTCTGGCAAATATGATCACATGCTGTCAAAGAATCGACACTTTCAACGTCTATAGTAGGAAATACTCGTTCTAACAGAATGTGACATTGCTTATGTATGACTTCCTTTCTCAAATATGGATCATATGTCATCAGACAACTAGCATGTTTAATAAAGTTTAAATAACGTGTTCAACTACGAAGTTGGGACGATGGTGGAAAAGAAACCGAATCAGCTAGCATAATAATTTTTCAAGGAGGCGGAACGTCAGAAACAGTACACTTTTGGTCCCAAACAAATGGACCCTTCGACATTAGACAAGGATCGGATGAAGCTAAAATAGTTTCTGGAAGTGAATTGACGGCCGATGAACAAAAGGGTGTGGCTGTGGGTGGGTATGGGTCTCTTTAATCACACCCACACCCACACACGCCCTCTCCTGTTACCTTTTTTTTCTCTTCCGAGAAACTCTTTAAAAATTGTGTCGTTTTCTTTGTGTGGGTGGATGCCTTTGAAAAAAATCCACACGCAACTGAACAGAATGAAAGTCGCACAATTTTTCAAGAGTTTATCGGAAGAGAAAAAAAGTAGTAGGAGAAAATATGGATCGCAAGATTGACACGCGCTCACTTTTTTCTTATGCATCTCTTGCATATTGGCAAACTCCAACAATGTTTACTCAGTCATGGCCTCATTTGTTACGGATTGCTTACATCGATAAAATCGCTAGATTGAGCGTGTGAGTGTGAAACTCCCCGTTTGAATAACATGCACAACTACAGCCACAGAAACAACTCATGCTCACCGACATCCACGTCTCGCAAGACACTAACTCTTCGCTACTAAGGCTTCCGCTAATAATTAGCGAAAATTTTGTTAGCTGTCATTCATTTGTATAGACTAACATTAAGACAACATAAATATAAAAACTATGTCCATTGTTCTTAAAATGTAACATCTGACTTGTGCTCGAAGTATATTTGAATATAGTTGAATCAATTTTGAGTTTAAAAGTATTTGAACAAAGAAGAAACAGAAGAAAATACATTTCATACGAAGAGAAAATCAGACAGAATGACAACTAATTAGTCATAGCAAAAAAATGAGAATAAGGGTGGGCAGATGTGAGGTGTGAGCGGATGGGAGCGTGGGTATGGATGTGAGTGTGGGAGTGTAGGTATGAGTGGGTGGATGTGGGTATGAGTACGAATGTGAATGTCGGTGTGGGTGAAGGGTTGGCTGACACCCACACCGACACTCACACCCACATCCACACCCGTACCCACACACACTTACACCCACGTCCAGTGCTGAGTCAATAGTCAGGTGAGGCAAAACTCATCAATAATGATTGATAATGGTTTTGAAAAGAATAGCAATTTCATGCGCGCTGTGCATAGCAATCAACAATAGTATTAATGTGTACTTTAGCACTCCCATATTTCGTTGGAGTTTGTTGTCATTCTATCGATATTTGAGTAAGTATCTGCTTTGATAAAATGGTCCATATAGAACACCTGTCTTTAATGTATATTACTGTTGGAGCGAGATTTTTATTGCCACTTCGCAGAGGGACATTCTGCTTCTCGATGAAGGAATAAGCAAGATGAAAGAAGGATCTGTTCGAAAGTCGTGCATGTAATTAAAGTTTGTGCAATATCTTACGCAAAAATGTGACAATGAAGGAAGTTTCTATCGTCATGCAGCGAACAGAAAGAATACAGCCCAGTAAAAGCCATGACATTCTATCATGATGTGTAATATTCAGAAGAAAATTAAATCACATCGAAGAAAGGATGATACATACGTTCGATAATATCCCCAATGGTAATTCAATGCTGAAAAGAGATAAATGTCATTGAATTCTGCCATCTCACTTCATCTTGATACTTTTGTAGCATGAAATATATATTAAAGTCTTTTTTTTTTGAATATTATTAAAGAAGAAACAAAGTCTGTATGAGAAAGAAATATCCTTTATTAGATTTGAATAGTCTTTATATTCCGTTATCTGAGAAAAAGTCACCTGTACAGCACACTTGTTCTTTTATTCATGAATCAGGTGAAACAATTTTAGACTGAAGTGCTGTTTTTGTATCTTTATACACAACAATTACTCGAATTTTTGGTACTCAAGAAAGAACGTTATCTATATTGTACTTACATTTTATTAGACTAATGTGTAATATTTTTCTCTCTGTTCTTTATTCGCTATGTCAAGTTTGTATTTCATTTCTGTTCCAAAAAGAGAATATTTTTGTTCGACAAAGTTAACCTCAAAGTCTATCTTTTCAATCTGTGTAAAAAATATTCTATAAAAGAAAATAATGGAATAAACATCAACTTCTTCCAACTCTTAACTGATGTTAAACTCCTACGAAAAGAAAAAGAAACGATTTTTGATTATACGTCGTACAGCATTCGTTTTTTTTTCTGATTACCTGTGTAAATAGAAACGACCGAAGTAATGAGAACTATTCTGACAGAAGTTATTTAACAAAAAAAATGAAATTTTTAGGGAAATTGATAGAACTACACAATAATAAGAACTAATAGGTAAATTGATGTAAAAATGACCTTACATTTAATGCTCAATTGATAGATTTTTTTCATAGATAAATCAAAATTTTGTATTATATTTTCATTTCAATAATATATACAAATTTTCTGCTTAATTAATACCATTGTCGACATGGCAAACGCACTCTTCGAATCTTCAACAAACGTCAACCGAATGATAGAAAACACAGCTAATACATCGCGACTGGTACAACCTCGCATAATCGAGAATTTTATCATTATTTGGTTAGATTCAAACATTAATGAATTTGCTGAAGACACAAGAAATTCCATTACTAGCCTTCGACAGGTGGTCAATTCAATCAAAATATTTAATAATGTTGATAAATATGTTGATTTTCTTACTGATATTGAAGATGAAAAAGTATTTATGATTATTTCGAATACACTTGGTCAACAAATTGTATCTCCAATTGAAAACGTTGTTCAGCTACACTCAATCTATGTTATTTGTAGTCAATCGAGAGAGCATCAACCATAGATAGAGGATCATAAAAATGTGAAAGGAATATTTAACAAAATTGAGTCTATTTGTGACGTAGTCAAAAGAAATATTCGTCAGTACGAGATTAATTTGATATCATTCAGTGTTGTTCCTACAAGTTCTCTTACGAATCTCGATGAACTTGATCAATCATATATGTATTCTCAAATTCTCAAAGAAATTATTCTCGACATTAAACATGATAAAGCAACTAAGAAAGAATTTGTCGATTTTTGTTGTACTCATTATGCTGATAATAATACTCAGTCAAATAAAATACATGATTTTGAACGATTATATGAACATCATTCACCAATTTGGTGGTATACGAAAGAATCCTTTATTTATTCAATACTGAACAAAGCTTTGAGAACACAAGAAATCGACGTTATTATTAAGATGGGATTTTTTATTCAAGATCTTCATCGACAAATCGAACAACTGCATACAGAAGCACATCAAACTTCAAAGATGATTATTTATCGAGATCAAGGAATGTCTAATGATGACTTTGAAAAGATTAAGAAAAGCGAAGGTGGTCTTCTTTCTTTTAAAAATTTTTTATCAACAAGCATTGATCAAGATGTTTCATATAGTTTTGCTGAAAGTGCTGGAGATAATCCTGAATTAATAGGAATTTTATTTCAAATTAAAATCGATCCATTGATTTCCACAGTATCATTTGCTTCATTAGACAATATCAGTCAATACTCTGATTCAGCAAAAGAAATTCTTTTTCAAATGTACTTTTATAGACAATACGCAAATTCAGATTCGTGCGTATGACAGTCTGAAAATGCCTGTTTTTTTTAAATAATTTGAAGCGCTAGTTTTCAACTAAATGTCAAATAGATAGCCATATCATGAGTATCCAAATCTTGTTTGCCTTATAAATGTCTTCATCGAGACGGTGTGGGTGTGGGTTAAGGAAGGAGGCACACCCACACCCACCCTTTCTTCGTTGATCATTGATACTTGTTTTATTTGACTAGTTATCTTATGATTACCCACACCCTTAAGTGCGCAATTCTTAATTTTTTATCTTGAATTGTTTGAAGAGAAAGTATTTATTACTATTGATATTTCTTCATTTCTTTCTCAAACATCACACTGATTATACAAAAAAACGAAATATGTCGCACGATCATCATCATCAACAACACCAACAAGAATACGAGAATATTGATGTTCAAACACGTGTATCTGATGAACGATTTCTTGAATTTGAACGTTTAATGAAGATGTATCCACCATCTTCATCTCAAAATTTTAATCCAACACCACTTGGTCTATGTGCTTTTACATTAACAACATTTATTCTTTCAATGTATAATGCAGGTGTAGCTGTACCTGTTACAACTCTACATGGTATTGTTATGTGTCTTGCTCTTTTTTATGGTGGTTTAATTCAACTTCTTGCTGGTT